ACTGCCATTCTCTGCATCCCAAGTATAACCCACATCATCAGCCAAATACTCCAAATTGGCGAGGGCGCCGCACCGACCAGGACGCCGGATCAAGAAGACGCTCTCCATCTCCTTACGCTGATCGTTCCAGTTCGCTGAGGGGCCAGAGCTCGGGATCCCGGAAGGACACCCCACCTGGTGGTTCAACAAGATGACAAGGAGTGAGATTCCTCTCTCCAGGGCAAGAGGAGCCTGTGCAGCAGTGGGGAAACGGGATGTAGCTGTTGTCATGGCCCGGACACCAGCTACGATACCTACAGGGCCTTAGGAAGAAGATGTTGATCAACCACACCTGGAGCACACGGTGAATTGTTCCCCGGCGGGGGAACCATGTTCATCCTACATGCAAGGGAGATTGCAGGTACTGAACTGAACATTCTGATTGACTCAGGTTCCACGGAATCGTTCATCAGTGCAGATTTTCGCCAGTCTATCCCAGCTCTCCACCAAGGACCACTCAGAATGAATATTATCGCAGCCAAGGCTGTAAATGGGGAGTTACTGGATACATTAGGGACGGTTACTGCTACCTTACAGTTGGGCTCTCAGTCGTGGCAACATGTTTTTCATGTACTCTGTAAGTCCACCCAGACAGCTCTGTTGGGTCTGGATTTTCTGACATCACATCACGCACTGGTGGATTTTGGCCGCGGTAGGTTGCAGTTGTGGGGTATGGATGTGAAGTTGCTGAAACTGGAGGTTCTGATTCCAACCTGGTGCAACGTGTCTCTTACGTCCCCCCTAACATCACCGCCATTTAGTGAGATGCTGGTCTCAGTACACATCTATCCTGCAGGGCCAGATGGACAACTCCCCATGTTCTTCGGGTACCTAGAATCCAATCCTCTAAGTAAGAGTGAGTGTGTGGTGGCTCATACTCTCGCTTCGGTAGACAAAGGTGTTACTACGGCTCGACTGCTTAATCCTACCAGCCAAGACATGATGCTACGAGAAGGTACACATCTTGGAGAGTTATTTTCTGTAGAGGAGCGGGATGCAGTGACCCCCAGAAACGGTGCCTTCCGCGGTACTGACCCCCCCCCCCCCCCCCCCCCCCCCCCCCGCGTCGCTGATGGATTCCTCTGCCAGCCCGTTACAAATGGGACAGCCGGAAGCACTGCTAACTTAATATGGAGATATTTTTAGCCAATCTAAAGCAGTGAAAGGGAAGTGCACCCTTATTAAACACAGCATTAACACCGGTGACACCCCCCCTTGAAACAGCAGGCTTACCGGACCTCGCGTGACAAGAGGAAGGAAATAGACAGACAGGTAACCACCCTGCTGGCAGATGGGGTGATTGAAGAGAGTTGTAGCCCCTGGGCGTCTCCGTTTTTTTTTTTTTTTTTTTTGGTGAAAAAAGAAACGGTGACTGGAAATTCTGTATTGACTATCAACGGTTGAACAGTGTCACTGTAAAAGATTGCCATCCTTTGCCTCGGGTTGATGATATGCTAGATGCTTTGACCGGGTCCCGTTGGTTTAGTACTTTGGAATTTTCCAATGGTTACTGGCAGATTGATGTGGCCAAGGAGGACCGCCCAAAAACTGCTTTCACCATTGGGCGGGGCCTGTACCAGTGGAAGTCTATGCCTATGGGTCTCACTAATGCACCTGCCACATTCCAGTGCATGATGGAGCTGGTTCTGTGGGGACTCCCGTGGCACGTGTGCATGGTGTATTTAGATGATGTGTGGATATTTAGCCCTACGTTCAAAGAGCATGTAGCCAGGTTGCGAGAGGTGTTCTCTCGAATCCAAGCTGCAGGTCTGAGGCTTAACCCTCATAAATGCTACTTGGCCAGAGATCATGTGGTATTCTTGGGCCATGTAGTCTCCTGTCACGATCTACAGCCAGACCTCAGAAGCACGGACAAGGTGAAAACCTGGCCCACGCCACAGTCGCCCACTGAGATGAGGGATTTTCTCAGTTTATGCTCTTACTATCGGCGATCTGTCAAAGACTTTGCTCATCGTGCTGCTCCACTGCATCATTTAACATGTAAAGGTGTTTCATTTGAATGGAACGAGAACTGTGATGTGGCCTTTGAGTATTTAAAGACAGTGCTCTCGTCGGCCCCGGTGATGGCCATGCCGGACTTTACTGTTCCTTTTAAAGTGTACACGGACACCTCTATGGAAGCTGTAGGAGCGGTGTTGGCTCAGGATCACGGTGGGCTTGAAATAGTAGTGGTGTATGCTAGCCAGTCGTTGACTAGCACCCAGAAACGCTGGTCCACGTTTGACCAAGAGCTGTGGGTGGTGGTATGGGCCATTCAACAGTTCAGACACTACCTCGGGTCTGCCACCTTCACCATAATAATGGACCACAAACCGCTATTGGGGCTTCGAGGTTTGGCCATTGACAAAGAAGCGGGGAAGAGAGCTTGATGGATCCGGGAGTTGGATCCTTACAACTGGGTGTTGCAGCACAAACAGGGCCAACAACAATCAAATGCGGACACGCTCTCAAGGCGCGGGATGTGGACAGTACTACTGCAATAGTGAATGTGGTGGACACACCTTTCCAGTCCAATGTCTCGGGTCCACCATGCTCGGTCCCCGGACACGCTGAGTCTAAGGATGAAGGCCTGCAACTGACAGGGTTATTGAGTGACACGGGGGCCTTAACAGTGCAACAGCGGAATGACCCAGATATCAGGGTGTTGCAAAACTGGTTGGAACAGGGAGGCTCTCTTCCAGCCCGGGGACAAGTGAGGGGTGGCTCCCAGTGGCTCCGAAAGCTGTGGACTGAGTTCCCGAGGTTGTCATTGGTGAATGGATTGTTGTGCCGAACTGTGAACTTTTCTCCGGTAGGGAAAGCACTGTATCAGATGGTCGTACCTGCATTCCTGGTCCCTGACATTTTGTATCAGTTGCACGGCGGTCCAGAAGCAGCACATTTTTCTGCTGAAAAGTGTGGGAGCGGGCTAGCGGCCTCTGTTACTGGCCATCTATGCTCAAAGACAATCGCCAGTGGTGCGAGCAGTGTGTTCCGTGTCAGACTTGCAGGAGTCCTGTGCCGAAACAACATGCCCCGATGGGAGGTTTGAAGTCTGTTTGCCCTCTTCACAGGGTTGCTATGGACATTATGGAACTCCCAGTGGCATCAAATGAGAGTAAATATGTGCTGGTGATAGAGGATTATTTCACTAAATTTGTCAACCTGTATGCTCTGTTGGACCAAACTGCTCACTCCGTGGCTCATTGTTAGTTTGAAGACTAAATACTGTTGCATGGCATCCCTGAAACTGTTCACAGCAACCAGGGTAGACAGTTTGAAGCGGAGAGTACACAACGACTGTACATTATTGGACATTGATGAAACGCGTACTGCGCCATACAATCCCAAGTCAGATGGTATGGTAGAATGGTTTAACCGTACGCTCACTGATCAGCTGGCTAAGTCATTGATGTCTTGTGGGGTTGAGTGGGACAATTATTTGAAGCAAGTAGCTTTTGCATACATCATGACCATGCATGCAAACATGGAGTACACTCCTTACTATCTGATCCACGGCAGGGAGGCTCGTGTTCCGGTGGATGTGCTGGTTCCGAAGCAGGCAGTGCCCTCTGATCTTCCCCTGTCACATGCGGACTTTGTGTCGGCTATGAGGGATCGGTTGGAGGTGGCCTTTGCCAATACGAGGCAAAATGAAGCAGTGGCTCATGAGAAATAAAAACTTTATCATGACACCAGTACCCACCATCAGCCATACTCGACGGGGGATCTCGTGTGGCTTCATAAGCCTTGGGAGGATAGGAAGAAACTGTTTCCCCATTGGAGGGGCCCCTTCAAAGTCTTAGGTGTGTTGGACTCAGAAGGGGTAGCAGGCCATGTGTATCGCATCGGTGACCTCCTCATTGATGGAGCGCCCCCCACCCCACCCCCCACAACCACCACCATTCTGGTGATGGCCCTTGTTGGGGGATTTGTGTATGATGTTTTGTTGTGAGTTGTTATGCTTTATTGCAGTTGATGGGGGGTCGTTGTTTATGATGTTGTTTTGACTTATTATTATTATTAATATTTTTTTCTCCTCTCCTCTCTTTCTTTTCATGTTTTTTTTTGTTGTTGTTTGGAAACGTGGACTTTTTTTGTGTGGGGGAGACATGTAACCCACTTTTGTGGGACTTTTATTTTGAAAGTGCTGCTGACAGGATGTGATGTTTGGAGAGAGAAAAGAAAGAGACAATAAAAAGAAGTTGGAACAGAGTTGCTAATGGTGCCGTTATATAAAGCGACACTGAGAGTTCACGGTTATCAACCTTTTCTTGAGCAACCACAATTCTTATCTCCTCCCGTCTCTTTCTGGAATGCTCGGTTACATCTGCAATTGAAAAACTAATTTTGGTCTACCTCTAGTCCGGATGGACACGTAAGGCTGCATGGGCACTCTGATATGCAAAGAACAAATAAAACACTGGAAGACTTCACTATGCTCCTCACAACCTACACACTCATCAATATGTGGCTGGACTGCAACACGTGGAAAACCTCCTTCAGCATAAACATAATTATGAGGCTTCTATTCTCTTAGTAGTTGCCACATAGGTTTCACCTATGCTTCAGCTAAACAGTCTCAAGATGAGCACCGCACACTGGCACTGTCCTGGTATGATTATTCCAAGATCCAGATGCAGTTCTACCTGTAAAATGTGTGTTGCTCTAGCACAGCGCCGATGAAGTGATGGGGTTGTAGCCAAACCAACGTGAACTGTTCTGCTTTGAATACTCAAAGTCAACCATAATCAAAATCCATCATAATCTAGCTAGAGAAATAGTTGTCCTCTACAGACCTTCAAGACCTACAAAGGCCGTGTAAAAACATCCATTTTTACATCGTTAGTTTTCAGTCAGAGGGATTAGCCAAAGTGTACACAGCTGAAATGCATTTGCTCAAAGCAAATGTCTAAATACATGAAAGTGAGTTAAAAATAACTTTGGACCAATCTTCGTACCTGATAGAGTGGATTTGGTCCGTTAGGAGTTGCAGGGGGGTCCCAGTCTATCTGAATGGTTGTATCATTTATAGGATGTATCTGGGGTGAGGACAGTCCTGTTGGCACTGATGAAACAAGTGTAAGGAAAAAAACAAGTGTTATTTTGCTTGTTATATAAAAACGTTTCAACAGCATTTTTCTACTAAAAGGATTTCAATGCAGGCACATTTCAGCAATTCATCACAGTAAAATCACTTGAAAAAAATATTACAGTCAGAATGAAAACATTTTTCCTGCTGTTTTGATATAAATAGCATTTACTTGGTGTGGAATAAAAGTCCTGTTTCACTCATCAGAGAATCCATTTAATTTTCCTCCTTCACTTTAGATGTTAAATTAAATGTCCCTTTGAAACAAACTGGGAGGCACCAAAGCTGTAATTTCATCATGTAACATAAATAAATCAACCTCAGACTGGTTGATACAGGCAGAGGGGATGTAAAATAATGAAGGGAGAAACACAGCAAGCCACAGACTGCTGGAGGAATGGGAAAGACGTATGAACCTTAAGCGTAATTCCATCACCGTGTTTCTGTGTGCCTTTCAGTAATTCTCTAAATGGTCTGTGGTGGAAGTAAATTAGCTCCCAGTGACACGTGCGGACCACCTTTGGTGAGCGTTGTAATAGAGCTCTTAAAAGGGAAGTGGACAGCTCCTTTTAGATGCCTCATCTTGGCACATCAAACCATAAATTACTGCAAATCAATAGCTTACCAGTCTATTGATATTGAGCTACAGAAACATTAAGAACACTGATGGTCTGACACACACTTACTATGCATGTGACGATGTATAGCACTTTGTGATGGTAAAACAAACTCGTCTCTGGTCATTTGATATAAGATGAGAACAATTCATAAAAATAATTCTGTAGGAAACCTTTATTGTTTGAGCAACCAAAACTAAATTGGTTAAAGACGGACTTCATGGTTCTGAGACAAACTTTGTGGGGAAACGGACCACGCTTAGCTGGTTTTGATGTTTGATTGGACCAGACTAATCTCAGGAAACTAGATTGTCCCGAGGTGACATCTGCCTGTAGATCTGAGATTTCAAAACAGGCGGGATTATCGCCATTTCACATACCAATCTAAAGCCACCGTCACCTATGATCCTAGGCATCAGTAAATGTGTTGCTTGTGTGTTTCTTTACAATACAAAACAAAGATCAATGTAATAGAAAACGTAAATGTGTAATTTTAGTTTTTCTAAATCAATATTGTTTAATCAATTTGAAAATTCAAAACAACAACGATAAAGTTCTCCCAAACCTTAATGTAACACTTTACGATGTGTATTGATTGAACATATAAGAAATGCCCTGCATTGGCAGCAAGAAGGCTTCATGAACATAGGAAAGGTGATACAGCGGAAGGCAATTTAATGACTTTTAATGTAGAAACTTGGTGGGAAAAAACAGCAACTTTTACCACAAAATAAAAATATAAGGCTTTGAATTAGTGTATGCTACCACTCTATTCCTTGTCAATGTTAATATAAGTGACTCTTAACTCCTAAATTTGTTTATTAAGAGAGAGGTGGTCAGTCTTTATAACTTCGTTTTTCTCATAATATTTTCTAATAAAGCAAAAAGTTTGGTTTAATTTTATGGGCTCTTTGGAATGTCCTTTGCTATGGAGCGCTGAGATGTTTCTGATTATAATCGGTCACTGAGTTTTTCATGCAGGCTGAACAGTTTTCTACATCTCTCTACTGCATTAGCTTCTGCCAGAAAGTAGATGGTGAAACTCTAGGATTTCAAAAGCCTGACAGATCTATGTCACACTGTCACTTAACATTCATGGACTCACCCATCTTGACTTGCAACGAGGAAGGCTGTTGTTGGTTAAGTGTTCAGGAAACAGCAGAGAATGTCTCAGCTAGTAGAAGCTAACCATTAGCATTAGCAAACCCACCGCACAGCAGAACTCCTTCAGAATTGTGTTATTTGTGGAGATAAAACATGAATGGTGCAAAGCAAACAAAATGACCATCAACAGCAGATGACATGGCCCCCCAAACCATCACTGACAGAAACTTTGCACTGGACCTCATACAACTTGCCTCTCCTCTCTTCCTCCAGACCCCAGGACCTCGATTTTCAAAGGAAATGCAAATTTTACTTTTATCAGAGAACATACCTATGTAGCACTAAGCAGCAGTCTGGTGCTTTTTGTCTTTAGCCCAGGTGAGATTCTTCTGATGCTGTCTTTTGTTTGAGAGTGGCTTGACACAAGGAATGCGACAGCTGAAACCATGTCTTGCACACGTCTGTGCATGGTGGTCCCTGAAGCACTGACTCCAGCTGCAGTCCACACTTTGTGAATCTCGTCCACATTTTTTGAATAGGTTTTGTTTCACAATCCTCTCCAGAGGTTATCCTTATAGCTTCTGCAATCTTTTTCTACCACAATTTGTCTTTCCCTTTGACTCTCTATTAATGTGCTTGGACACAGAGCTCTGTTAACAGCCAGCCTCTTTAGCAAAAACCGTTTGTGTCTCATTGATCTTGTGCAATGTGTCAATGGTTGTCTTTTGGACAACTGTCAATTCAGCAGTCTCCCCCATGACTGTGTAGCCTACAGAACTGAGATTTTACAGACTGAGGGACCATTTAAAGGCTTTTGTTAATTAGCTGATTAGAGTGACACCAGGGGTCTTCAATATGGAACCTTTTCACAATATTCTGAGACACCTATGGTGTAGATCAGTGGTCCTCAATAGGCGGCCCTCGGGGCATGTGCAGCCCGAGGGCCCCCTCTTTGTGGCCCCGAACCTCGCGCGTACCCCCGGATTTGGGCCCAAACAGATGTTGTTTTCTTATCTGCAAGTGAAAGGTTACTTTGTGGTCAATTCGTCGGTGAAAATTTGACCACTTGGTACGTTACATACAGAATTTGGGATTTTCATTAGTCAGCAGTTATAATCATCAAAATCAAATAAATATTTGAAATAAGTCAGTCTGTGTGAAATGAATAAATCTAATACACACATTTCAGTTTTTGAATGGAATTACTGAAATAAACTAACTTAGTCATATTTAAATTTTATGGCCAGCACCTGTATTCCTGTCGTCTTTCTCCTTGACGGTAATTGTGCAAACCGCCGAAATCAAACATGTTGTTTCCAGTGGAAAGGGTTAATATGATTTAAAAAAACATTCACAAGCAAGTTTCTTTTGCCAAAAGCCCACGCGCGCACGCACGCACGCACACGCGCGCGCGCGCACACACACACACACACACACACACAGTCTACCAGAAAGGTTCATTTTAATTGCTCACATGGTAACGAACCCACTAAATCCTGAGTCAGATCTCAGGCGTCATCCATGCGTGTTCATTGGTATGTTTCCTGTTTTTAGAGCGACTGGCGTGACTTAACAGGCTCCCAGCATACAGTTACACCATGCACATAAGTATGCCACTTATTGACATTGTGATCCCTTGCCATGCATATTTCTTTTCTCAAGAAGGGCCTCTGGCCAATTATGCATAAATCAATAAAGTTCCTGTTCTGTTAAATGGTATTACAGTGTGAGTGTGTATGTGTGTGTGTTTCTCTGTGTGCAAGTCTTGTAGAACAAGCATTTATGGATGTAGGATACATAAAACATCACAATCAGCCCCTGATTAGCCACTTACTTTGCACTGTGATCAATAACTTTGTGGAAATACGCATGCATTGAAGCCATCACAAATGCATCAACACGCATGAATAGAGACCTCCCTCCCCGTCTCCTTATGTCTGTCTCCATGTGTGCTCCGATATTCAGTCGTGTGCTTTGGTGTAATTCCAGTAGTTTCACAGATGTTGTCTGCTCACTTACAGCAGATGGTAGCTGGCTCTAATGGCCCAGCCTTATGTAAGGTACATTTATCAGTGCATCTGTACCATGCCTGAGTACATCCTATAAGACATAAAGTCAATGTGAAGATCATTTTCTCTACAAGAAGAGTTTGGTTTAGGAGATCTCACAGGGTTCAGTTCACAAACTCTTACACAAACTCATGGAGAAATTATGCTGATAGAAAAGTATTCTAAAAGACGTAAGAGAAAATGGACACTAACAGATGATTTTGTTATATTCTAGTTAATTGGGTAAAGACAAACTGAAACGTTTTAACTATAAAGAATTAGATCAAGTTGTTTAACCCTCCCACTGTCCTAATGGGTGTGACTCCACAAAGAAAGTTGACCATTGAGCAGGGTTGATGGTTTATCCCTTGGGTCTATGTGGCAGGGGTGAGGAGTGAGCATCGCCTCACCCCTGCCACGTGGACCTCAAGAGATAAACCATCAGTCCTGCTCAATGGTCAACTTTCTTTGTGGGGTCACACCCATTAGGACAGTGGGAGGGTTAATTAAACCAAGCTTAATAACATATGAAAACACAGATTGATTAAATCTCAATATTCAATTGATTAGCTGATCTAGGGGCAGCTGTCAATCCAAAACCATCATATTCCTGAATCAGTAAGGGCAGACTTCATTTCACTTATTTTTCATTTAGCCATATGAGTTATTAAGCAGCTACAGAGGTGGCCAAATGATTTGAAAATGGTACAATGATTAAACGTCACAAATAAACCAACAAACAGCCAGCACTTGTGTAATTTTCAAAACCTTTAGCCTTGGCTGTGTCCTTGGCGAAGCTGCAATTTTTAATAATTGTTTAGACATAAGTGTACTAATATAATGAGTGAACATCAAGCATTAAGCTGAATCTAGTAGGGTATTAATGTAGCAACCATTCAGTTTCAAGATCTGCAACATCATTACGGTAAAAAAAAAGAAAAAAAAGAAAACAAATTTAAGATCCTTAAATTGCAAATCTGTGGCTTCCAGTGTCGCATGAACCATGTTTTCTAACTTTGTAATTTCAGTCCAATCAGATCTAAACCTAGTGGAAGTGATTAGAGCAGCCGGCTCCCTCTGCACAGCATGATGTGTAAAGTTAATCCCAGAAGGTTCTAAGGCAACTGGACTTTTTCTTGATTGCCGAAGACAGTTTGATCCTCCCCTAATCACAGAAAAAGTAAAATTTCAATCTTTTAAAGTGTAGCTTTAGAATTAAGAAGAGAGATGTTGTTTGCCAATTACTCATAAAATCCAAAACAAAATTTTAAACTTTACTTCTAACATACAAAATCAACTGTCCTTACAACTGTCATCCATCGTATCGTTTTAAGATTAGGGAAATTGGTTCAAGTGAAAACTTCTGCAATATTCAGGTTTCCTTACTTAGGGACATTTTGAAACTGGCCTAAACTTACACCTGTTCTGCTATGAACTGAAGTTTTTGCTTTTTGTACAATGCTGTGAGATGTTGTTGCTATATAAAAATTAAAAATAAAATAAGAAGTGTGCTTAATTTTTTTGAAAAAACAGCATCCCTCCATTTTAAAGTCAAAGATTAACAGCCTTTTCTTGCTTTCTCTTGCCTAAAGCCCCCGTTTCATCCGATTTAGTATAAGCCTCAAGAATCAGGCAAGACTGTCTTCTTACTGTGGTAATTTAAATCTTTCCCACTAACGTTCCTCTTGTGAGCTGTTACTGTTATTTAAATACATTAGTTGTCATCTCTATTTGACCAAATGCTTTGTGAGCTGTTTTCAGTGGAAAAAAGGTCGCACGCTCCTGTTTTAGGAAGTAGATGTTTTTCAGAGGAATGGGCGGGGATTTTGAGTCTTACTTAATATTCATGTTATGCAAACATCTCACAGACAACATCACTCTTCCACTGCCTCTATTCACTTTTCTTTCTTGGGTAAAATAATGCATTGTTGATGTTTTATCTTCAGAAATAACACAAGCCTGGAGGAGTTCTGCCATGCTGTGGAGTTGCTAATGCTAACAGTTAGCTTCTACTAGTTGAGGCGTGCTCTGCTCTCTCCTGAAAGCAAAATCAACAACAGCCTTCAGCGGTCATGTGCCAATGTGGGTGGGGCCATGAATGCATATTAAATAGCGTGATGTAAATCTTTCTAACTTTTTCTGACCCAAGCGTTTCTTTTCTTTCAGCTGCTAATGCAGACGATTAAGGTAGATGACTATTTTCACTTTCAACGCACACGTGAAACTCAGAGTGACCGTTACATGCTTCTTCAGTGAACCTCACTGTTAAAGTGTTTTTTACTAGTTTGCTGTTTCAGAGCAAACTCCATCCATTACAGGAAATATATGGTACTATTTCATATAATTTTAGATGCTTAACAATAAACTGTAGCAGGCTTTGCTCCGCCTCAACAGAAGGGATTTCTCTAGACAATACAAAGCATCAGGAAGAGATGTCATTTTTACACATTCTGATCACGCGCCTTTTGTTGCCTCTGCCGCCCCTCTCCAACACCGTGGCCCCTCCTGGCCACCCCAGTAAAAATTTCCTGACCATGCCACTAAATAATTTATGAGAGTTTTTAGGCATTATAGCCTAAATGAAAGAGAAAAGCAATCTGTGAAGCATGGTAGCCAGGAAAACATGCTAAACAAACTGGTATGAGATAAAATCAATTACTTAAAAAATATCCGCCAAACACCATGCCATTATCATTTCTTACAGTTGAATCAAGGGACATCGTTGGCGTAGGATGAAACAAAACCGCGGCAGCAGATGTGGTTGTTAAAAATACATTCAACGAGTCAACTGGGTACAATAAACCATATTGAGTTGTACTGTATAACAATAAAGAGAAGTCTTTGGAATCACTTGAAGTAAACACTGCCACCATGTCAGCAGATGCAGCCATTAAAAATACATTTAAAAAGTCGACCAATTACAATAAAAAGCATTCATCATCACACACACAAGGAAGGACTTAGCGAATCATGTGGACAAAAGTATTTGCCAAGAAAACAGATACGGTTGTTTAGTGTTTTTAAGAGTGGAAAGTAATCATGAATTTAATCTTTTCCACAACAGTTTACTGCATCCAGTGTCTGTGCGCACATGCAGATCAAAACACAATAGATAGAAAATTGGTTTAGGTTCAAATCTGCATGTGAGCATCTGTGTATTTCAGACACATTAATATGCTGCTGTGGGCTATTTTTGTTTCAATGAAAAATACAGGTACAAAGAGAGCTGAAGTGTAATGAGTGAAAAGGTAGGAAGGAAGAGTGCTGAGAAACTGGTCATGCTGTGAACTAACAACTTGTCTGTCTCATAAAATATGTACATGTGGTATTAACTAGACTTAAATTATCCCAGTTCCATAACAGCTGCATACAGAGCAGCGTGGCAAAGTGTGCGTATTTATTCTGATGAGTCTGATTCACCAGCAGCAGGAAGTGCATGCTATGCTATGTATTTCTCTTTGTAATTAACAGAATTTTAATTGTTTTACACTTAGCAGAAGCACAGATGTCACAACTCAAACACACTGAGGGACTGTGGTGCTTGATGTAGGCGTACACAAATTAGTCTTTGCTATACTTTGTGACATACATTTTGTATAAAAATAATTTTTTATCCACAACTGACACTCCCGTATCAGGCTTTTATCGACACAATGCAAGCATGTTTGTATTACTTTGAGTGTGGATAGGAAGCCTTCTGACTCAAGAACTGGGTCGATTTTTGGATGAATTTCATTAGATTTCTTTGTATTTACCAAGTGTGTTTTCTCCAAATTACCTTCACTCATACTGACAACATTCATGGGAGGCTAATTAATAACTACCTCCACTGCTCTGAATTACTCACATAGTCCAACAAATTGCTGGTACTAGCACCAAAACAAAGGCAGTAATAAATAATTGGCATTAGTTAGTTAGTTTGCATCTATACGCACATGGATACACAAAGAAATTTCATGTTTTAAATCTCTATATTGGAAAGTTTTGGTAATACCATGATTGTTCTTACCAAAAGAGCTGTTAACATGTGGAAGAGACGAAACAGAGCAGAAAATAATCGCTCGGCAAAATTATTGGCATGAAAGATTGTGAAACAAGACATTAGTAACTGTTTTTACTGAACAGTTCCCTGTCTCTGTGTGGTAGTAGTACATTGAAAATTCTATCCATCCAGCGTGGCCTGGTTCTGTACAGTGACAGTGGAGAAAATGCATGAATGAACGTGTGTTTTTGTGCACATTATTCTTGTTCACCTGCTGGTAGGGTTTGTCCTGTGCCTGGCAGACTGGTGATGCAGCCCATTCTTGTGCAGAGAGTGATGGTGAAGTTGTACACATGGTAAGGCTTCAGTTCTTTAACGATGTAAAACGGCTGTGATGACGCTGCCATCCTATGCAACACCTGGATTAAGATAAAATAATAAAAATTGAAATTTAAAAACAACAATAAAAGGAATTTAGTATGTTCTAAATTATGAAGAAACACAAAATGATCAACTGGAAATACTTAATTTAAATTATTGTTTATTTCAACACCGACAGGTGTTAGGTATTAGTACCATACGGCTTAACTTATATGGTCTTGGCTAATTTGCAATGCATGTCCCCAGATAGGCCTTTAGCTACAAAGCATTGAAAATAAATATTTAACCTAACAGAATAACAGTACATTTTTTAATTAAGGAAATTTTGTTCATTGTTTCTACCAAAATGTTGCAATCTTACCTGACTAACAACTGGAGGGGCGTAGGGATTGGAGGTCTGCTCAGTGAGCATGTTGACCCAGAATTCTGTGACTTGTCCTCCTGCTATGACCCCGTGACCCTCAGTAGAGTTCCATGTGACTTTGAGACTGGTGGACGACAGTGCTGACACGTCTGGAGGAGCCACGAACTCTGGGACTGGAAATATGAAAACATTTTAGTTACAGAAGAGGTGAACAGGTGATTTAGGTAAATGCATCTCTGGTATAAAAAAAAAAAATTAAAAAAATACAAACCCACAAAAAAAACATTTCAGACAGGAAATTTCATATTCATTAAATATCTTCTACCTATATTTTTACTAAATTGAAATAAGTAATTTAAACACATATCAAACAGGATTAAAGTCACCAAGTCAATATTAGCTGACAAAGAAATTCAATCAAAAATAAAGAAACATTTTAAACAAAAATATTCTGTAAATGACTACTTCCTGGATATTATGTGAACTTAATGGATTTGAGTGCTCCATAATTCTATGATGGTGATAGCGACAATTACACAGCAGATTACAGACAGATTCTTTATTCCACTGCTGATAGGATCAAACTGTGAAATATGCTATGAAATGTGATTTATGGTCAACAGAACGACAGAACCCATATTTTTGTCTTCCACTCAGCACATGTATGTAAAAAAGCCCTGGCACGCATTCCACATCTAAAACGGTGTTATCACATGCTTGTTATCCAGACGCGTAGCTTAGAGTGATGTTGGAGGCAATCGTTTAGACCTAATGAGCCATATCATCTCTTTGAAATTCAAATATCTTAATGAGTTTCCCCTCCCCCACACAGTTTTTATTTCCTTCCCTCCCTGCTTTTCCTTACAGCCTACCCAGCCTGACACACACCCTCATTTTTCCCCTTTTCTTGCTCAGGTGCACAAGACTTGTAGGTAAACCTAAGAGATATTTTACTGCATCAGTAAAGAACTGGTTACCGACAACTTTCAGACTTTTCACTAACACTCCTGTTCCTCCCAAAGCAGTCTTCCTGTGAAAGAAAGCTGGAAATGGATGAGATAATAATAATAATAATAATAAATTAGATTATATAGTGCTTTTCAAGGCACCCAAAGTGCTTCCCATTATTCTCTCTCTCTCACACACACACACACACACACACACACACACACACACACACACACACACACACACAGCCGGTGATGGTGAGATGTTTTGTAGCCACAGCTGCCCTGGGATTGATCCCACAACCCTCCGATTACTGAACAACCCACTCCATCTCCTGAGCTGCTGCTGTCCTGAGATTTACTGTGAGATGCTGAAGGCTCTGGATGTTGAGGAGCTGTCATGGCTGACACACCTCATTAACGGGGCATGGGTAGTTGGGATCAGACCAGTGGAGTAGCAGACCAGGGAATCAAATTTTACTCCAGAATGTTGGGAAAGAAGACTGGTGAACCCCAGAATCTCAGATGAGTGAGGTTTCTGTTCAAGTTGCATAACAGTGGACCAGCTCTTTAAAGCCACAATAGCAAATCTGCTAAACAAGTTACCGGTAGCTTAATTTTTTTTTCATGCCTCTTAACATTGTAACATAGTATAGCTGTAAATATATTGCGGAGATTACAAAAAATGAAGTGGTTCTCTCACATTTGTCTAAAAACCTCAGCCAATAACACGGTTTGCTCCAAAACCGGTCAGAAATCACTGGACCATCTAGCTGTTGGTGTCACCGAACCACTGCCATTCCGCATTTGCTTGGGTCCTCTGTTCATTACACACTTGCACATTTTACAATAGAACACCACTGGAGTGAGAGCTTCTCCGCTCAATAATATCTGAGAAGGAGAAACAGCCGGCTGCTCCCACTTCTACTTTAAGACAAACTACCAGAGTCCCAAATAGAAAAACACCATTTGAAGTCAGACTACAAAAGACATTAGGACCTAAAAAACAGCAACTTGTGTTTTGCACTCTCTCGTTTACTCTGGCAATGTGCGTTCTGGTATCAGGCGGACGTGGCCTAAGGATGATAATCGACGGGAGGGGTGAGAGTTCTGTGACCATGTTTGTGTTTCAGGTTTCCCATCATAGCTTTAAAACGGACTAAAATCACATCATAAGAGTTTGGTTGCTCAGTCTCTCTGAGTGTGTGTGTGTGTGTTTTGTGGACTTGAAGGCTTTAGTGTTCCTAAAGAGATTTCATGGGGGGTGTTGAAAAGGTTTGGAGCGCAAAAGTTGCTTTTGCAAATGTTCTTGTCCATGACTGACCCAAACAGAAGCTACATCTGCATTCTTGGCACAAAGTTGAGCTTGTTCCGATTAAAGGCTAGATACCACCAGGGTTGCCACATTCTGTGTTGATGGACAGGAACGGTGATGAAGAGCCATCAAAGCTGCATCTTTGCTTTTTGCAGAATATGTTCAGCTAGCATCTTTAAGCTATGACCTTCTATAGACACTAGAGTAGTTTTATTGAATTTAAAGCATAAATGGTAAGAGTCTTCTTCTTGAAGTCACAGTTCTGGACCAGAAACATAAGGAACACTCCTTCTGAGTGAGTCTGCCTCAGATAAAATTTAAGGATCTCTTGTTCTTGAGTGACAGTAGGATGACGTAGGAGGTGGGGAAAGAAGAGCCAATTTATGGTTTCACAATACATGTCTATAATCACTTATGTTCATGAGATTTTGGTCATAATTACAAACCAAAAAAAGATACTGGATAAAAGTGGCTGAAATTATGTCATCTGAGGTGACTAGACTCATCTTTAGGAGAGAGCAAAGAGCTCCTTTTTTCAAGGAGTAGCTCAGAATAGAAGCAATGTTCCACTACACTGAAAGGAGTCAACTAGGGTGGTATGGACATCTGATCAGGCTGCCCTCTGGTCACCTCCTTTGGAGGTTTTTTCAGGTGTGTCCTTCTGGGAGAAGACCCTACGGCAGACCAGAGCCTGCTAGAGAGATCAGATCACATATCAGTTCTAAGCTGGGAACACTTTGAGATTTCCCAAGAGGTTCTGCAGCGGGTTGCTGGGGAATGGGAGTCTGTGTTGACCTCATGGATCTGCCATCCCGGCAACCCAACCTCATATAAAATAAGTGAACTTTGAATGGATGGATGCTTCTTCTTGGGTGACTAATGGAATCTTAGCCCATTAGGCACCAACGATTGTGTTGCTGAACACTGACTTGATTATGAACTGCTCTGTGGTAAAAGGCTGAGAGGACAGAAGCCCTTCATAACCTGATATCGTTAACTCAAACATAACCTAGGCCCATACAGACCTCCCTCCATAGTGTGAGCAGTGGTCCACTCAGATGAGACACTTCCTGCACTGCTGATGCTCACAACTCTCAGCTGGTAGGTTGAAAACGCCTGAAGATTCTTCACAATTGCTCTGTTTTCTGGAGGTGACAGTGTGCTGTTGGCCTGGCTCCTTTCCATATAGACACTTGGATCCAGCCATCCAGAGCTGTGAAACACTTTCTTCTCATCCAGAACACCAGACAGGTTCTGTGAGTCCATCGGGCCTCGCAGGAAAACATCATATCTCGTTATGATACCTGCACATGAGGATAACACGTAAAGCAGTCAGCATAGTATTATAATAACTCTTTTAATGTCAATTTTGGTTTAAATCGTTAAAATAATTTTTAAAACAAAATTTGCAACATGCTATAAATAACTGTTCCTAGTTAAGTCAGTGTGAAATCAACAAAAGCAGAAAAAAGACAGGCTAAGGGAAGATGTGACTTTTTTAGAGGCAAATGAGAAAAAAAATATGTGCGATGCAAAAAGAAAGAACGTTAGATTTCAGGCTTTGTATGACCTTAGATCTACTACAAAGCGTTCTGGATTTATCAAAAGTACTTCAAGTTCAGTGTGTATTAATGTGTGTGTGTGTGTGTGTGTTTTGTGTGTGTGTGTGTGTGTGCGTGTGTGTGTGTGTGTGTGTGTGTGTGTGTGTGTGTGTGCAGACACACAGGTGTTGTTGAAGGGCACAAGCCTACCATCTTGCTCAGTTTTGTGCACTATGAGGTGTTGACACACTGGTACAGAGTCCTCCAGTTTTCTGCTCTTCTCTAAATTCACCTGGGGCCTCATGTATCAAGCTTGCTTACGCACAAAACAGGCTCGGAAAACTGCGTAAGTAACTTTCCACGCAAACTTTGGGATTCATGAAAGAAAACTTAGTGGAAAAATGTGCTCAACTTTAAGTTGACTAAGGACCTGGCTTACGCACATTTTAGACATGGAGAGCACCTGCAGTGCTGCTGCTGAGAAGGACACAATTATGAAATCCTGCAGCATTATCACTTGTACTGCTTCGTTTTCACACAGAACAAGACCCCCCACACACGCGTGCGCACACGCACACACACACACACACACACACACACACACACACACACACACACAGCCTGAAGCGCAGAATACGAAATGCAGAATATCAGCAGGGGGACAGGTTGAGACAGAATGTCATGCATCTGTGACAGTGTGTGTCCTGTCACTATGACCCAATTGATCATGCGCCCTGGTTACTTGTGGGCCATTCCCATCTGTACCGGGTCGGCCCGGGCCGGGTAGCATAGGTTGTTTACATATCTGGGTGGCCTGGTATTTTTCCGGGCCAACCAAGGCTCATTCTCAGCCCTCTTCTCGAGGGGGTCTGCTTCAGGCCGACCAGGGCCAACACACCCACTGCTGACAGCAAATTCACACCTTCCATTAGAGCAAGCCTCTGATTGGTGGGTAGAATCAGCCCACATGGGCTTAAGACAAGGATGTGTGGAATCAACCGGGCCAGGCTGGGGCCGACTGGGGCTACCCGGCCCGGGCCGACTGGGGCTACCCGGCCCGGGCCGATCCGGTACAGATGGGAATGGCCCATTGGAGAAGGGAGATCTCTGTTTGGCTGACTGGTAAGCGTGCGTGACTTTCACCCAGGAGTCTGGGGATCGAGTCCTGATCGGATCATTTTTTTTATATCCGCCACAGATCTCTCTGAAGAACTCAGCATTGACGGCCTCAGCAAGGCTGTGCCACTTCGTGGATTTTCTCTTATTTGTTTTGCTAAAGAACTTTCTTTCATTCCTCCACCTCACCCACAAGTAACTCAACTTCTGCTTGTGAAATAGCGCTTGCTTGATCTGCGGTCGTGATCGAAATGCTGCAACAAGCTGGCTTATGTATATGCATGAGATCCACAAGGCACTTTGCATTGACTATTTATGGCAGTAAGTGGGCGTGGTGAGGGCCGGATGTGACTAAAATGGGATGGGACATAGGAAAACAGTATTTTACTGCTAATTATTCCATTGTAGATTTGTGGGTTGAACACAGCGTACACTGAAAGCGACTGCCTGTTATGCTGGTGTGCTGTACGTGTTTATGATAGTACCATTTGGCTGACTAGGGGGATCCCAAACAGCCTGCAGCGTGTAAGGTCCAGTAGCAGTGACTTGGGGAGGAGGTTGGTTCTGTGGGGGGGCAGCAGCTGTCAGAAAAGACAGCGGTGGGCTAGAGGTGCACCCTCCAGATGAACACACCTATAGAAGATTGACAATTTTTAAAGAGGTAAAATCAGAATTTATGCAATAAATGCATATTATTTTAGAAGGAATTACAACTATTTATCTTTATAAGAGTTAAAATACCTACCTCCAGTATTGCTGTGTATTGTGTGAAAGGCTTCAGGCCACCTGCAACAGCGTCTGTAGATGAGCCTGTGTAGTGAATGACTGGCTCTGCTTCATGAAAGGACTCCATGGAAGATAACACAAACCTGGGTGAGACATTACCAGAAAATGTAGAACTTGTTTTATTTACTTTCTCATCATCACATGACCTATTATTTATTGTTCAACCCTTAAAAACACAAGTGCTTTAAGTGAGCAGGACTTCAGGGAAAAAGACAAACGCATTACCTGAAAGATCATAGTTACCATACCATTTTATTCATAAAGTGCATTTCAAAACAGCATGAGAGCAGCTGACCAAAGAGCTACACAGGCAACAATCATATAGAGATCATTTAAAAACGGGTAAAACTATCAATAATTGCAGATAAAAACAACCAAAAAAAAAACAATTAAAATAAGGGAAAATACAAACTTTATAGAGTAATCACTATCCAAAAGCCAAATCATAGAAGTGGGTCTTCAATCGTGACTTGAAGACATCAGCGGATGATGACTGTCTAATTGTGATGGGTAGTGCATTCCAGAGGATGGGGGCAACCTTGCTTTATAGTTCAAGGTTGGAGTGCAGAGTAGCAACAGGTCAGCTGATCTTGGTAAACGCACCGGCACATAGGGCATGAGCAAGTCAAGACAGGTAGGATGGCGATGAAGACTGTTCAGTGCTTTAAATACAAAGAGCAGGATCTTAAATCACACCCTGAAAGTCACGAGTAACCAATGAAGATGCGTGTTGGAGGGGTACAAAGCAGTTTTGACTTGCTTTTAGTACCCCCAGTGTTCATCTGTAAAAGTAAAAGTGAAACTTATCTCCTGTGCGTTTGTCTTTTTAACACCTTCATCTAACAGCTGAAATGTCTCCTCAGCCTTCTTTAGTTTCTACTGGAGAGGTTCATCACTAAATCAAATGAATCAGCTGTGTTCATGACCTAAAACAAGCAGGAATCTTGCCGGAAGCGGACTGCAGCTCCAGGCATGTCAGCTCTACTTTTACCAAGTCCAACAGGGATGAGATCGGCACTCTGAAGTTGCAAGTGCAGTATTCCAGCCATAGTGAGCAGTGGGGTCTGAGTGACAGTTCATTAAAGGGGTAATTTCAGCACATACTGGCTCAAGAAAATGATTTTAAAACATGAAACGTTTCATTGTATGCCTTTAAAACTGTCACATGAAAAGGTGAACGCCGTTTCACATTATGCACCAACCTCTCCCTCCACAAACATAAAAGTCAATATGATAAAGAAATTAAATTCTAACAAAAATATAAAACTATTTTATAATTCGTATGTTTTTAACTTTGATCTCGAATTAGCATCTTGGTCAAAATGTTTACCTAGTGTCCCTGCTCACATTTGGAACTTAAACTGAAATTTGAGATAAAATTAGATGTTTTGGTCTCTTTTTTCCTTCAACCCTTCAATTCAGCTAAAGAATTTTGTCCATTCATTCCATGTTTATCTTTATTATCCATCTTCTTAATATCATTATCCTCTCTGATGATGCCTAGAGATACAAGCGGAAACATGTCAGGTAAAAAAAAATTTTTTTTTTACTAAACTGTGTAAAAAATACAGGAAAATGGACAGCTGACCTATTCTTTACTCTCATTAATTCCAACATATTTTTTTAATTATATCACAGATTTAGTCAACTATAATTTTCATCGTTTTAAAAGCTTCATGTAGAAATGAGGGTAGAAATCAAGGCACTCAGCCTGGCGAGGTCATCAGTCTGTAGGAGTCAATGTACTCTTTGCTTCTCCCAAGATCCTCCTCCCACCTGTGACTGTACAGTAGATGAGCGCCGTAGATGGCTGCTGTTGCTGGGGGAAACAGGATCCCTGCCTTCCTATTGGAGTCTCATGTTATGTTGTGTTGTCTGAAGTCTGTTGCATATCTGTTGAGGTGTTTTTTTTTTGTTTTTTTTTTTTTTGTTTTTTGCAGAGCAAAGCTGCCCTGCTGGAGGGTAACTCTGAAGTGCCTTTTTTCCCTCCACCTGAACCAATCCTCATGTAACCTTCTTATCTCTATTAAGGTAGCGCGACTCGGGTTGCAAATGACCAGAGTCACCATTTCTTGTCATGTGACTTGCCCATGTATATCTGACCTCTGAATTGTGTGTACTGAAACTCTAATTTCCCTCTGGGATTAATAAAGTATTGACTGATTGATTGATTGATTGATGATTGATTGGTTGATTGATTGATTGATTGATTGACTGATGTATAGTCCATCTAGCACCAAAGATTGTAATTACATTTAGAGAAAAATAAACCTTTTTCTAAGTTGAGCAGGACTGCACAGAACTTGTACCAAACAGACAGCCCAAGGGAATATCTTTAGCAAGTGGTACAGCTGAAAAGTATTACCTAGAAATTTCCCAAGTTGGAGATTTTAACGCAATTTAAAGTCTTACTTTGTGATCTCTTCTGATTTTCCCATCTCTTTGCAGTGTGATATCTCTAAATCCTCAACCAAATTTAATCTTTCCCCTCAGCCCTTACCTCTCAACTGGTCCCGTGTCATTTCTCGGTGTGCTCCAGTTAAAGCTAGCACTGGTTGGACCTGGTCGCCCCAGGAGGTTTAAAGACAGTTGGTCTGCAGCGGGGGGTGCACCTAGAGTTTGGTACGATGCTGCTGCACTTAGTGTCTCACCAGCTACACTGGCTGTTATCAGCCAGTAAGAGTAGTTGGTAAACGGAAACAAACTGTGGTCCTCATAGGATTCAGGTCCTTAGAGAAGAAAATAAAAAAGGGGTCATGGTTTCAGTGTAACATTAAGTTTGTGCCTTAAGTGTTTGAAATGGTACAGGAGTTAAACACTGCGTGCATATTGATACATACTGAAAGGGTAGCGACTGTGGATGGTGTACACCGACTGTCCATCTCTGATGAGCGTGTATTTGAGTCTGTTTGAGTTTGGTGAATCAGGTGGATTCCAAGAGAGAGAGATGGAGGAGTAACTAAGAGCGAAGCCTGATGGAGCAGGTTGCTGGGATGGAGCTGCACAACAAACGAGTCAGACACACACACTGCACGTGAATTCAGTCAAAATGTACTTTATCACTCTAATTTCCCTCTGGGATTAATAAAGTATTTTTGAATTGAATTGAATATCAATATATAAAACAAAAGTATCTCGTTTCATGCATACAGATAATCTCACATCAGAATATCAAAATAACAGTAAAAGCTGACCAGTCGGTATGGTGCTTGTTGGCTTAAATGTAAACACACCTTTACTGCAACCAAAGAAATGGTTTTCAGGATCAAAGTGACTCGCTCCTGGCTGGCATGAATCACACTTTTCTCCAGATACCAGCAGCTTACATACACACACCCCTGTGTCTGGATTGCAGGAACCGTTGACACTGCCCACTTGGTCACACGCACAAGGCTGACATCTGTACGTCAAATAAGGAAGAAAGGGGGAAGGTTTAGGCAGGCAATAGAGAATAAAGCATCCACTGCAATGTAGATTAGAATATTAAGTTATTTAAGGCAAATTAATGAGATATGTATTACTGCATCTTTCAACCAGATGACTCTTACAGCAAGCGTGTTCTCCTTAGACCCAGCATTGCATCATGTTACTCAGCATCCATTAGATTAGTTGTGGGGTATTCATTCATGTGTTTGATCTCTGTGCTGACCATGTGTTGGATGTCATACCCTGTCTTGTCTCCCCATTCTGTTCAGTCATGTGTCTGTTAATTTCTCCCACCTGCCTCTCGTTTTCCAATCACCCAAGCTCCCAGCCCTCATGTATTTAAACCCCTTCAGTTCTGTGTCTCTTGTCGGTTCATTGTTTCTATGTCTGGCGTGCTTAATATTAAAAACTATTCCAAAACCGTTCCTGCCTGCCTGCCTGCCTGCCTTCCTCACCCGCATGTGGATCCTTGCCTCTGTTTCACTCACCGGCACGCGCTGACATTGGAAACATGAACCGTCCTGAACGCTCTTCACCTCTCAGCCGCTGAAAGCTAGGAAATGCTCCAGCATCCCATAATCTATTCCCAACTGGTCAACACATTTTTCAAAGTTGAATTTGAACTTTTTTGTTGTTGTAAAAATCATGTTTTGACTTAAAAAAAGTAAGGCCCATAAGAATAAGATAAATGAATAAGTATATATGAGGGCTACATTTATATGAGAACAAACAGCAAGCCATGCTGAAGAAGATGAATCCTGCCTTGTGTGTTTTCTCTACTTTCTCTCTTAGGGCTTGTAGACGTATCTAAAGTAACCCTGACAAATATTTTCTCACAGGCTTTCAGGTTTGTTCCACATTAGTGGTTGTTAAACTGTTACTCTGCCAATGCTGTAGCAGAAGTCTGGAAAAAAAAACGGTACACTTTTCCAACTAATTGTTTTAAAATGAATGTCCAAATTCATGCTGGTGTTCCAAAAACTTTCTAGAGATTGTGTGTGCGCGCGTGTGTGTGTGTACTATGTCTAGAAGTGTTGGGTCATCTTCATAGTGTGAGGGGAAACCCTCACTCTCATCTATCTCACCGTCGTTCTTCAGCTGTGAAAATTAACTTCACATGAACCCCCATTAGTGTTGTCAACTGTGTGTGTGCCAGTGTGTCTGACAGTGCCCACATCTGGGTCACTGGTTGGGTGTTACCATCAATGGGGAATTGGTAGTGGGTGAGCACACACACACACACACGCACGCACGCACACACACACACACACGCACGCACACACACACACACACACACACACACACACAGAATGAGTGTTGGATAATGTTTGACACACCTCGCTGGCAAGGTGATACTTTATAAACCACACCACTGTCAGCCACACACAGACATTATCAATGAGTGTTTTCTTAGTCTGCAGCATATTGTACTCACATGTTATGTGTCTATCACAAACACACACACACACACACACACACACACACACACACACACACCTTCTTTATTGCTGTGTGAAAAGCCAAAGCCTCATAAAAGCTGCAAATTTGTCCTGTCGACTGGTGCTCAGAGACGCACAAAGAGACACAAAATGCCACGATGACTTGACCTTCACTTCCACTCCCAAGGAGAAAGAAAACACCATCACACCCAGTTTTTCATTTTTTACAATGATACTAACACATGTGTGTGTGTGTGTGTATGTGTGTGTGTGTGTGTGTGTGTGTGTGTGTGTGTGTGTGTGTGTGTGTGTGTGTGTGTGTGTGTGTGTGTGTGTGTGTGTGTCTGAATTGGGTGGAACCACTGATATACAATGAATCACAGCATATTGTGACAATGTTTGATTCATTTTGTGTAAATGTTTATTAAATATATTAGTTATGTCTTTCTCACATTCTAAAACTTAAACTCCACTCGCTCATCCAGCTCCACATTTTGACATCTGATTTTAGATGCAACAATTCTTCTACTACAAAACACTTACACTTTCAAATATGTATACGTAAATGTACACTTTACTAAAAATACCTAAAAATTAAATAATATTTCAAGCTGTTTCACAAAATCCCAGCATGTTGACATGGAACGACTGGAATTAAAACCAAGGAAAATACTCAGCACAGAAACATATTTGTCTCATAAAAGCAAATCTCAAAATAAACCAAATATGAAACTTTGTTATTAAACTAGAGTTACAGCTACAATAGCAAATCTGAAAAACAAGCTAGCCTTTGACATTTTTAATGCCTCTTAACAGTGTTTTAAATCAGCATAGCTATAACGGCTGTGACTGACACACTCAACACACCTAACCCTTCTCTGCCGTGCTACTGGACTCGCAATATCATAAAATCCCTCGAGACTTCAAAATATATGACATCATCACATATGTAACCCTATATGATGTTGTTCCTCTCCACCGCCAGGTTCAAAGCTATGAAAAACACAGCACTGGACTTCTCAAATGATGCTGGGGTAAATAAGCCGTTAACTTGGATTGACGTAATCTACATAAATATGAAATAGCATTGCTGCAGTAGTCTTATTTAGAAAATTACCAGATGTTTTACACTGTCACCATGTGTGATTTCCTGTCTAGCCCCATGTTATCTGTGGAAATTGATGCATCCCTGAAGGGGCTTGCAGCAAAAATAGAACCCGATTCTATTGTTAGCGCCGCAACATGATGGTGTGGTGAAGTTTGCTGCCTTTCCGCGCTACTGATGCCTCCAGTGTGAAGTAGGGGTTACTCCCTTTAAAGCTTGACCTGTTTGAGGGAATACTTGATACCTACCTTCCCAGACCAGGGTTGAAGCCAAAGAACATCTCTCGACACTGATTACACTGTCGCCCAGCCACTGAGGGATGCGCACACACACACTGTCCAGACCGGCTCTCACAATTCTGTTGCACTGAACCCATCGGATGGCAGTCACACTCTAAACACACGCTGTGATCCGCTGAGAGATGGAAGCCTGGACCAAAAAACAATAAATAAGAAGTAAAATGATTTCTTATATTAAAATAGCAGTGCAATTTTTATCTTATTTAATCAATGGTGAAACAAACCACTCATTTTATGTTTTAATTGTTGCTTCGTTTCTCTTTGTGGTGACAGAGTTCGAGAGTTTTTGACTGAGTCTTGTATGAATTTGTTGAAACTAATGAAGTCCTTGTTGAAAATAATTATAGGTGTTCAACTTTTAATTGTAATACAATTCACGTATTACTCAATTAAGAATTTATTTACTGAAGACTAGTAATGATGGCAAAAAGGAAGTAAGACAACATCAATACACCTAAATATCACAATATTTATTGTTATGATATAAATAATATTTAAAAGCAGCATAATTTTGTTATTGACAATTTATATGCAGGGATTTCTTTTGTGTGGTGTAACTAACACTCTGACTACTAGGTGGCAGCAGTTTTTACCACCTTCATTCTGACAGAACAACGCAAATTCGCGATAACACTGCGTCTTGAAAGCATCCAAGTTTTTCATCCAATTAAAAAGATACTAAGCAATTTTCTTGCTTTTGCACTTAGTGTCCATTATTAATTATCTGTGGTCAAACCAAAAATGAAACTTATCTTCTCGGTGTGCGTTTGTATTTTTACCACCTTAATCTAACTGCAGAAATGTCTCCCCAGCCTTCCTTAGTGTCTACAGGAGTGATTCATCACCAAATCAAACAAATCAGCTGTATTTGCGATCTAAAACATGCAGGAAACGTGCTGGAACCAGACAGCAGAGCCAGGTATGTAAGCTCAATTTTTCTAAGTCTAACTGCCACACACTAGTTTCAAGCGCGGTATTTGGGCCACAGAGGTCTGCAGGGGTCTGAGTGGCATTTGATTCACCCTTTAAAGGGTCATTTTAGCACATACTGGCTCAAGAAAATGATTTAAATATATGAAAAAGTGACACACTATCCCTTTAAATTCAAACTTAAAATTGCAAATATCATCTGACATTCAATCTATATCGTTCAGTGTCCCCTGTAACACACAAATCCACACATACACACACACACACACACACACACACACACACACACACACACACACACACACACACACACACACACACACACACACACACACACACACACACACACATATTTAACATTATATACACACAAAGCCTGAAGTTTTCTACCCTGTATTTAAAATTTGACTGAAAAGTTGTATTTTGGGCCCAAACTTTACATTTAAGCAGCCATGTCTCATCTTACTGGTTTATTATTTGGCCTGTTCACATTTCCATCTCAGTGTTTTTAACTCACCAGGTCGGCAGCTACTGCAGTCCTTTCCATGACGTGTTGGGACACAGACACATTGTCCTGTGTTCCTGTCACAGACTGACCCCATCACTGTTCCCCTGGGGTCGCAGATACATGGCACACATCCCTGAGACAAACCATCTGACAAGAAACAAAAACATCTGAACAGCCGCTTCGCATCTGGTCACTCTTTATGCAACAACTCAGAAGTAAAAGAAAAAAACTTTTCCTAAATGAAGTTGGACATTAAAAACATAGCAAAGAGAATTTTGGCTCAGTTTCTGTGTTTTCATACTCAGGAGGTCTAAACTTCTGTTGTAGTAATTGTGACGACAGCTGGTACAGTGTAAACCCTCCACCCCTTCCTTGCATGGGCATTGTCCGGTCCACATATCACATACACCCTCTGGCACAGTTCCACTGATGTCGCACACGCACGGCAGGCAGCCCAGGGAGTTACGGCGCTCCAGGGTGTGATAACCACGAAGGCAATAGTCACAGCGACGGCCCTCCACATGTTCCTAAAAGAAGAGACACAAAGGACAATAAAAAGGGGAAAACTAGGAACACCAAATAGAAAGTGGAGAATAAAATAATACTTTGTTTTTGAACAGCAGCAGATTTATTTATATGTGAGACAAAATACCTGTTTTAATTTTGTTTGCATCTTTAAATTAAGGCAGTATTCCAATTCAAACACTCTTCTTATGACTTAGTCCTACCCCTACATTTTAGCCTTTTGCCCCAGTTATTAGTTGTTTATTTATTTATTTTTGGTATTTGGAGAGAAAAGGTTTTGTGGCTATCTGGTTCCAATATGAAAATGTGACAAAGTACAACATGCCTTGCACACACACTGTCCTGTGTAAGGATCACAGTCTGTTCCAGGTACTGTCCCCTCGTGTGAGCAGTTACAGGGCGCACAGGATCCATCGAGTTTTAAACCATACAGGCCGCTGCCGCAGGAGCCACACTGTCGGCCTCCCACCCCAGGTTTGCACTCACACTGCCCGCCCTCAGGCTCACAGAACGAGCTGAGGGAACCCAACGGGTCACAGTCACAAGGGATGCAGCCGTCTGGGTGGGAAAGGTTCCAAAAACCAAACACACAGCGGTCACATGATAGACCTGGAAAGAGAAAAAGACAAAGAAATGGTTTCCTAAAAAGGTGAAGTGAAATCCTCTGAGCAAAAGGAAATAAAAGTCTTAATGTTCACCAACTAGTATTTGTCCTCTGTGTGTGTGTGTGTGTGTGTGTGTGTGTGTGTGTGTGTGTGTGTGTGTGTGTGTGTGTGTGTGTGTATGTGTGTGTGTGTGTGTGTGTTTGTGTGTTTGGGAAAGAGCAAGGAAAATGGTGGGTGAGTGAATAAAACTGCCATCATTAGGGCCAGGCCCTCTACTCATGATGGATCACTCACCTAAGGCCAAACACTTAATTTTACTGAGCAATAAATAAATAAATAAATTCTGCTACTGTAAGAAAATGACCAATGGAGAGGGAGGGAAAATGGAGGTACAGAACTGAACCTCTAAAAAATAAGTGTTCAACAGATAATCTTTTCAGTGAAGATTTTCATTCCTTTTTATCTCTGGAACTTGATAATAAAAAGTTCCTTCATAGTCGTGTCTGTGACTATGACAGCTACACATTTTATTATTCTTATTTATTTTAATGTAAACTTGGGTAAACATCAGGTTCACAGAGATTGTATAACGGCCAAATCAGAGCTTGGCTCTGAGGCTAGTTAAATCATTATATGTGGTGTGTGTGTGTGAGTGTGTGTGTGTGTGTGTGTGTGTGTGTGAGTCTTATTTGAATATGTCATACGTATTCTATGACAGGCAATCTGTCCCTAAATGGATGCCTGGGGGCCATGCAGCCACCACAGTCGTTTATGAGGGAGCATATGCTTATATGTGAGTGAATGTGTGTGTGCGTGCACAGAAACATACTAGAACATCTGTGCACAGATGTTCTAGTATGTTTCTAGTATGTGCGTGTCCTAGTCTTTGTGCATCAGTTCTGACCACTTAAAAGATAATTCATAGTTATGAGTATTCTTTAGTCCATTTTAATGTAATGAGGTTGTGATTGTAGAGGTGAAAATGGACTAATAGGAGTATGAGAAGTAAATAAAGGGGGCAAAGTAAAGTTAAGTGAAGGAAAGTGTTTGTCAGAAATAAAGAAAATAAAAATGAAAGAAAAGTGAATCTGAAAGCATTAAAAGCATGTAAAAATATTAAATCAAAAAGAAACTGAAGTTGAGATGTCCACTTGCGCGTGTGTGTGCTCGCATTTTTAAGCCACCGCCAAGCTTTTTATCAGCCAGCTGGTTAACAGGCTCATGCATCACCATTTCAAACACTATTAAGTACACACTGCACTCTGGCACCTTGTTATGAGTGTACACGTTTTCTGCATATGTGCGTGTGTGTGTCTGTGTGCACATTTCAATCCCACCCTGCTGAAGTGTGCCTGCCATTGCTCCATTTAAAGTATCAGCTTGGCTGTAATAAATTACCGTAATCAAATCTCATTTCTGAAAAATACCTGTGGGAGCGACCAAACAAACAAGGACGGGGAAAAATGGTCTTGTAGGAAGAAGTGTGAAAAATACACGGGGTTGCAGCAGTTTGTTTTAATCAACTTGGCACTGAATTAGAGAATTAAATACCAGCTTAGTCTTTGATGGGATAAGTGCACATACACACACATGCACGGACACACACAGTTTTGTGCACAAATGCTTCTGCAACATACAATGCATAGAGCTAGCCAAAAACAAATTTACTTGAACACTGTCATATTCATCCCTCACAAAAACACACTAAACAAGAGCAGATAAACACCATGAGTGCACACATGCACACACAAACATGGACCCTTGGTAGCAAGGCTTAGCCAAAAAGCATGATGTGTTGAGTTGAGAAATGTTGGACGGTTTTGCATTTCAGACGAGCTTGGTCTTCAAAGACACACGGGGGAGAGAGTGAAACCATTTATCAAACACCGAGGCCTGACGGCTGGAAGCCCCACCAGCAGGAAGGCCTGCTTATTTTAACTGTCATAACATTTTGGGATGGATGATAGGAATGCTTGTTCAGTAATTTACACTAAATCAATGCACTTTAGCTTATATGTCTCCTTAATTACAGATGGCATACCCCAACCCATTCTGCTGTAAAACCTTTTAGGCATTAAAAGTTTTTTTATAGGTTTGCTAACAAGACAGTGCTAAATATACTGTAGCACCAGAAAGGCATGGCATCTGATTTTTGGGTTTGGTTCTGCTTAATTAGTATTTATACAAGTATTTTTTCGTAGGGCTGAAGCAGGGGTGTCAAGCTCAAATTTACACTGGGCAGAAATGAAAAAGAGGGAGGAAGTCTCGGGGCAAAGTCAATATTTTTTTCAAAAGTGATGGAAAATGTGCACTTTTTTTATCTACAGGTAGGTACTGCTGAACCTTTTCATTTAAAAATAATGCTTATTTTTACAGTAACATTGAATGTGGAATAACCAAATTACACACTAGCAAGTAAATTTTAAATAAAACGTGTCAGTGGTGGTCATTAATTAATGTCTCACTTTGTTTTCTTTTTGTTCCTTATAATGTGTAAATTTTCAGCTCTTTTATTTGTAATCTTTTGAATCTTATAAGTATTTCTGTTTTGTTTTCCTCTTGTTTACACTTTATTCGTATTTTTTACTCTCCTTTTTTGCTCCTGTAAAGAATGTCATCGCTGCCGTGGCAACAAGCTTTCTCCACTGAGGAACAATGAAGAGATTTTCTATTTCTTCTCATTTTTCCAGTTCCTGTTTTAAATAAGTTAACAAGCCAACAACATTAATCAAAAAATAATTTCATCTTAATCTCACATTTTATCGATGCTTCTGAGCAGAAAAAAAAGTATAAAATCCATAGTAATTCAAGCTCAGTTTGCTCCACTCTTCTCACCTGTTCAAACCAGACACCTGTGTCTCTGGGGTTGGGCTCTACGCCGAGGAAGGAGTTCATCATTGAGACTCCTGTGTTGTTCTATTTATCTTCATCACAGACAACAGTTGCTCACATAGGTTTGTGCAGCTAAACATGGAGAGCATTTAGCAGCTCGACTACGCTGTTGGGTCAGTGCATCAGGGAGGAAAGATAAAAACTGGAACAGAGTCATACTCTGACTAGAGCAAGTCCCTGGAGTTATATCAGCTCTGTCTGGAAGTTGGTTGGCGAACTTTCTCTGTCAGCCGTGAACATATGATTGAGCGGTTGAAATCTCCGTTTCTGGACTTCAAAGTCAGCAAATTGCTGAGTAAACTCAGCGCTGAGTAAGAGAAGTGTTGTCCGAGACTGAGGAGGGTACTGCTGCAGACGCCAGCCGATACTAGCCGCACAGACGCTGGAAACACAAAGCAAGGGGTGCTTTGACACGCTAATGCCGCAAAGCACTATGTAGGATTTGTAGTCTTTGGGGCCGAATGGGCCGGTGGGCCAGTAGTAATATACATTTGATATTTGATCTCGCGGGCCACATAGGTTGCAGGCCAAATTTGGCCCGAGGGCCTGAGTTTGACATCTGTGAGTTATAAGATTAATCCCGGTTCCTGGCAGAGCATGCTGCTGTTATGTCTTTGGGCAAGGCACTTAGCCCACATTGCCTGCTGGTGGTGGTCAGAGGGACCGACCGGCAGCCTTGCCTCTCTGTGTACCCAAGGGCAGCTGTGGCTACAATGTAGCTCATCAATACTAGGGATGGGGCAGATCCGATCCAGTATCTGTACTGGGCTCTGATATGGACTTAATTCACGGATCGGAAAATTCCGACCCAACTTGGACAAAATTCTGATCCAGAGTTATGTCTTTTGGTATCCTAAGTGATCTCAAGCACCTTATTTGGAATCGTAGGATGTCCATGGAAGATTCCGCCTTTCGCACCTCTGATTGGCTAGAAGGGCTCTACTACAATTGGCTACGCACCTCGTTTCAGGAAGTCCATTCACACTGCAGTTTAAAGATAGCGGGTTAGCATGAGCAGTGCCGAATTTTGAAACACACCATGTCCGCAGTGTGGAAATATTTTACACTCGAAACGCTGAAAAGCAAGACAACAACATGCTGTGTTTACAAAGCTGTTGTTCCGAAAGGTGGAACCTCCGTCGCAACTTTCAACACGACTAATTTGATCAAACATTTGAAAAAACACCACCTGAGAGAGCATGAGTACTTTTTAACTAGGGGTGAGAAAGAAGAAAAAAGATGCCAAGAATCACTTCTGGAGTTATTCAAAAAGCAAAGTAAACTTTCTTTTTTGATGCCACAAAAGAGTGAACTTGAGTCAGTGAACCTAATTTCTGGTGATCAGATGAAGCAGCCCTCTGTATTTTATTTGAAATGGTTGTATGGAAGTTTACCCTTTTATTTCATGGTTGACACTTAAAAACTGTGTTACTGGATAGTGGTGATTGGTATCTGGGCAGTTTAGTTTATGACAGGGTTTGTTTCTTTGATTGTGTATATTGCACTTGTATCTAGTAATCCTGCCTTGAAATTTAATAATTATTCATTTGAAACATTACAGTTGTATTTTTTTTTCAGGATGGACATTTTGCCGTTTCCTGACCTACTGTAATCTCAAGTTACCTTTTGGGACACGGTGCTGTTGGGCTCTTAGTTGTAGGGATTTCTCAAGTACATATACTTGAGTGTGGAGAAGAGTTTATTATAGCTACATAAAACCAAGCGTAAGATAATAATTCAGTTCAATTCAAGTTTATTTATATAGCGCCAAATCACGACAAGAGTCGTCTCAAGGCACTTCACATAATAAACTTTCCAATTCAGGTCAGTTCATTAAGCCAATCAGAAAAAAATGTTTCGGATATAAGGAACCCAGCAAATTGCATCAAGTCACTGACTAGTGTCAGTGACTTTACAGCATTCCAAATACTAAGCAAGCATTTAGCGACAGTGGAGAGGAAAACTCCCTTTAAACAGGAAGAAACCTCCAGAGGATCCTGGCTCAGTATAAGCAGCTATCCACCACGACTCACTGGGGGTCAAGAAGACAGAGCGAGCGAGCGAGCGAGCGAGCGGGCGAGCGGGCGGGCGGGCGGGCGGGCAGGCAGGCAGGCAGGCAGGCAGGCAGGCACGCACGCACGCACGCACGCACGCACGCACACACACACACACACACACACACACACACAGAATGAACTTTACATGTCATACTCATTAATATTCGTTCACCTAACGCAGTTTAGTGCTTTAGAGAGAGGGAGAGCTTCCGGTTCTGGAGTTCATGCAGGCTTCTGTGAGCTGGATCCGATCCAAACACCAGCAAGCCAGTCCAGTTGGTATTTTTAAAGCTGCACATGATCCTCTCCAGGTTGTCTGGGCAGCGGTTCTGATCCGGTTCCGACCGGGAAACTAACTGGCCCGCTGAGCCGCGCATCTCTTCTGGTGGCCGGTTCTGACCTGGTTCTGATGGTGATCTGAGCTCCAGAAATCCGTATTTCATTTTTTAAACCCCACCATGGGTCTCTGGAGCCCAGCGTGGACTTGCCTGTCCCGGTACAGACCGATGTGGGCTCCAGAAGTCCGTCTTTTCAGCTGCAGAAACACCCTCAGGCACGGATAGAGGTGTTGTTTCTCTTATCTGGAAACCCGTGGACTAGATGTCCAGACAGGCTGGAGTTGGTACAGCCTTCAAAGACTATAGTTTATCAAAATGAACACAATCCAACACTAGTAAACACACACTGACTGGATAACATGACCTCTCTGCACTAAAACTAGCCACTCTCCACACTGAACTGAGGCAGCCGAGCTTCTAGCTCCCTTTGGTTACGTCAGAGGTTCAGATTTAGAAAAAAGAGCCTTTTTGGACGCTCTGCTGAGAAAGGACACTTTCTACTAGAAAAACTCTGCTGTTACAGATTTTAAATTTTCAAATAGGATTGTTTGGACAGCATTTTATATGAATTAGAAAAAAAATGTAACCTGCAATTTGCTCTTTAGCATCAACGTGACAAAATACTATTTAAAAAGAATTAAAAAGAAACAAAGTTAAAGGGTGAGCAAATACAGTGCAGAAGGTGCAGCATAAGAACATTCATTCAAAGGCTGATGAAAACATGAACGTTTTCAATGTTGATTTAAAAGTTTCTAGAGTTGGGGCACATTTGAGGTCATTAGGAAGCTGCTTACATCTGTGTGCTGCATAGTAGCTAAAAGCAGCTTCACCTTGTTTGATTCTGACCCGCGGTTCTACCAGCTGACCGCTTCCTAAGGAGCCCTGCTGGGCCTGAAGGATGTCTGACATGTATTCTGGCCCCATACCATTGAGTGATTTGTAAACTAGTAGAAGCACTTTGAAATTGATTCTGTAGTTTACTGGTAACCAGTGTAGAGATTTAGGAACATGAGTGATGTGTTTGGTTCTCTTGGTTCTTGTTAAAACTCTAGCAGCAGCCTTCTGCAGTTGCGTCACAGCTTTTTTGGGAAGGCCAGTCAAAAGACCATTGCAATAATCCAGCCTGCTGTGGATGAATGCGTGAAAGACTTTCCTAGTTTCTCTAGGTCTTGTCTGCTAAGGAATTTGTTGTCAAGGTATCCAGAGCAGGGGTGGAGGTGTTTTGAATATAGCATCTGCTTTGTATTTGCAGTCGGGAAATCTATGAGAGGAAGAGGAGAAAGATCACTCGCGCCACCCCTGCCTCCACTAATTTAGAATTACTGGCCTAGAGGGTAACATCTGAAACCCACTGTGAACACCTCATGTACACGTTAAAAGTACACATTAGTACATTTTAGAACATTGACATTGTGATAAATTATTAAGATCAACACATTTTCAGAATGATGCTGTTTCTATATTCACCTTCTCTGGCTTGTGAGTGGTCAGAGTCAAGGCGCCTGTCCATAAAACCCCCTCATCAAGTCTTTTTGAAACATGTTTTACATGAACTCAAAACAAAACAAAAATTCTAATATTTACCTGTGACGTGAGGTTTACAGTGACACTGCCCTGTGTGCTGGTTACAGTGGGAAACTGCTGTTGCTGAGGTTTTGATGACACCCAAATCACTACAGTTGCAGGACAAGCAGCCATTTGGATTTTTAGCACTGAGACCGAACCAACCAGGCAAACAGTCTGCACACCGACGACCTGTTGCTGCAGCCTTACACTGACACTGACCTCCAATCTAATCAAGTGAGACATGGGAAAAATTTTTTTAAAAATAAGTTAAAACAAATATTTTCAAGTATTTCACTGATAATTTGCTTGATGGAATGGTTTTTGCTAGTGTGTACCTGGGGACAATCCATGTTGCCATCAACAGTTCCAGCAGTGTAGCAATCACAGGGCCGGCACACATCAGCCGAAGAAGGATCAGAGTCCACCAGCCTGAAGAACCCATTAATGCACAGCTCACAGTTCTTCCCTTATAGCAAGAGAAATGATAAAAGGATGTAAACAGAAATCTAATTCACTCATGATTAACAAAAGTGCCCTCATTTGAAACAAACGTGAAAAAAAAAACTGTGGATAGGTTAAAGAAGAAATCAGCCCATTCAGATAAATGCTTTCATTTGTCAATCAATTGGCCAATCAAGTATGTGAGCATCTAAACACTAAGACTCTGTGTGAGGAATTTCAGTCTGGTTTTAGAGAGTATCACAGCACTGAAACCATATTAGTGAAAGTTACAAATGATATTCTTATGGCCTCAGATAAGAATATTTTGTCCATTCTAGTCTTGTTAGATCTCAGTGCTACTTTTGATGCATGTTGTAGGGATCAAAGGAACGGCGCTAGGCTGGTTTAAATCCTACCTGTCCGATAGAATTCATTTTGTTAATGTACATGACAAATCTTCTTCATACTCCAGGGTTACTTGTGGAGTACCACAAGTTTCGGTGCTTGGACCAATTATTTATTATTTTATATACATACATATATATATATATATATATATATATATATATATATATATATATATATATATATATATATATATATATATATATATGCTTCCAATTGGTAAAATCATTAGACAGCACAGGATAAACTTCCACTGTAATGCTGACGATACTCAGTTATATTTATCCATTAACTCTGATTAACCTAATCGGTTAGTTAGATTACAGGGTTGTCTTGAAGACATAAAAAATTGGATGACTCAAAATTGCTTGCTTTTAAATCAAGACAAGACTGAAGTTCTCATCTTTGGACCTAAAAATCAGAAAAGGAAATTGCTTAGTCAATCACCTGACCTGATTGACTTTAAATTAGACTCTGAGAACAAAATAAGGAACCTTGGTGTTATCTTTGAGCAGGACATGTCATTCAAATCCCACGTTGAACAGGTTTGTAGGATTTCCTTTTTCCACCTTCCGAATATTGGTAAGATTAGAAGCATACTTTCCAGGAGTGATGCTGAAAAACTAGTTCATGCATTTATTACCTCAAGACTGGATTACTGTAATTCATTACTATCAGGAAGTCCACAGAATGTAGTTAAAAGTCTTCAGCTTGTCCAAAATGCTGCAGCTAGAGTTCTGATGAGAACTAAACAGAGAGATCACATTTCTCCTGTCTTAGCTTCCCTACAATGGCTGCCTGTTAAATTCAGAATAGATTTTAAGATCCTCCTTCTCACATATAAAGCTCGTAATAATCAAGCTCCATCATACTTTTGTATGATTGTTCCATATGTTCCTAACGGAGTACTTTGCTCTCAAACTGCAGGTTTAATGGTGGTTCCCTGAATATCTAAAAATAGGATGGGAGGCAGATCTTTTAGCTATCAGGCTCCTCTCTTGTGAAACCAGTTCCCAGCTTTAGTCTTACACCAAGGTGTTTAGGCAGATACATTGTCTACTTTTAAGACTAGACTTGCAAGATTTTTATTTGATAGGGCCTATGGTTAAAATCTGATGTTAGCCCAGATCTGAGTAGCGAGACATGGAGTGTACAGTGGAGGATACAGTTGGTAAAGACAGCTTTCCCTTGCCCTGCCTCTAACATGCCGCTCCGTTGAACTCCGCTGGGGATTGATTCAGCCCCGGGGGTGTAATCCGTGGGAATTGGAGCTGGAGGGGGGAGAAACCGCTGGGTCGGGGAAAGACAGGTGGCGAGGGGGCCTCGAGCAGCTCGTACGGATATAATGACTGGTACGATGTAACTGTTCCAGAAATGAAAGCGTCCATTGCCACTCAGTTCTGCATGGGGCTTAAAGTATCATAAACAAAATAAACCAAAGAAGGAATGAGTGAAATGTGTTCATGACACTGAAGCACCAAAAACAGTGTTCTTGATTGATACGCAGTAAACATAACAAAATACCAATAAAGTAATAAATATTATATATATATAAATACATAGTTATATATGTCTACATAGGAATATGTATATATGTATCATAAACAATAACAACACTAAGAAAATAAGACAAAAACATTAAAAAAATCTGCAAATGTGAGGCAATCCAATATGGCTGCCACCTGATGACGTCTTAATATGCAAATTATGTGAGTGAATTTGTTCCTATCACAAAATTTGGCTCGTACTGACGATTTTTCTAATTTACAATATTCCTCTATCTCTAACCAGATTTAAGCTACAAGCTCTTTAAATAGTGATATAAAAATTCATATTTTACTGAAAAAACTATGGCGTCTAAAGGGTTAAACTGCTGGAGGACATACTGACCTCTTTCGATAACTTTCTTCTACAATTTGCTCTTTAATTGCATTATTTCCTTCTATTTCAGCAGTTAACTTTATTTTTCCCTGTGTTTTTCTCCCCAGAAGAAGCTACAAGTGAGTGAGTCGTGGTGGATGGCTGCTCTGGAGGTTTCTGCCAGGTAAAAGGGAGTTTTCCTCTCCACTGTTGCTACGTGCTTGCTTAGTATGAGGAGTGCTTTAAAGACACTGACACTTGTCAGTGACTCGATGCAACCTGCTGGGTTCCTTGTGTAGGAAACTTTTTACTGACTGGCTTAATGAACTGAACTCTATTGGAATGTTTACTTTGTGAAGTGCCTTAAGACAACTCTTGTTGTGATTTGGCGCTATATAAATAAACTTGAATTGAAAATTCAAAAATTTTAATTTTCAAGTCTCACAAACTTAAACAGTCAATCAAGCTAGATTTAATTAATTAATCAATTATTAACTAATATTATGTTAATAATAAATTATAGCATGCTCCATTAGTATCACAGTAGAGACTTCACCTGTGGTGTTGTGCATGCAGTGGTCACAGACTCCTCCCCCGCCTCTGTAGTGCTCATGCGGTTGGTCATCAGCTCGGATGTCATAATGGCAAGAGTGGGCGTGGCCATTACACTGACAAGGACGGCAGTTCATTGGCTGGAGCTGATCACCTGACCTGAAGGGTTTGTCATTGTAAAGCAATGCACAATGCTGGCACTGAAAAAAAGAAAGAAAGAAACACTGAAAAAACAACATCTGTGTCATTCATATATATATATATATATGTAACAGGGAAATTAGAACTTCACTTAAATTTTCTTTGTATTACAGCATATATTTAAAAGTAAATGGATGATAAATGAAGTCAGTGTTGGCTCACAAATAAACAATCAGTGCACCTTTATAAATAACCACATCAGTTTACTTCAATAATATCAAATAGCTGAATTAACAGGGTTTCAAAGGATTAAAACTGTTTTCCATGAACTACCATGTCATTTTGAACATTTTAGCCCTTTTAAAATGGCATCAATACATGTTGGTCAAAAGTAGCTGTTAGAGCTCAAGTCCTACAGGATGTAAACACCATTTCTCCAAACAGGTCAACTACAATCTATCTACGATGGATGGAAGAGCAATTATTTTTAACTTTTATACAGAAACATGCTTCAACATGGTAAAAATCTCTGTTGACTGGCAATCAGACTAGTTAAAATCTGGGGAATAATTTATTTATGCTTTTTAACTGACTACGATACTTAGTTGTACAAATAAACACACCATAGTTGATTTTCTTCATACACCAACCACTTCAGAATCAGGAGAGTTTATATGTGCGAGAAATCACAACATTAGAAAATTGCTGTGGTACTTGGTGCGAAAAGGAAAGATAAAATAAGAGATATGCAAAAATATGAAGTATAATTATGATAAAATAATGATATAAAGTGGCTTTAATTAGAGAAAAGGCTACTATATACAAGACAGTGTAGGTACTGATCAGAGTAGAACAGTTCAGGTACAAACACAACACAGGGTCAGGTGCCTGAAACTAAGCTACTGGAGTGGACAGCACTAGGATTGTCATTCATGAGTCCAACTGCAGAGGGGAAGAAACTGTTGTTTTGGCGAGAGGTTCTAGTCCGAATGGATCTGAGCCTCCTGCCAGATGGGAGCGAGTCAAATAAACTCAGTCCAGGGTGAGACGGGTCAGCTGTGATCTGACCTGCACACCTCAATGTCTTGGAGGTGTACAAGTCCTGTATGGAAGGAAGTTTGCAGCCAATGACATTCTCAGCAGAGCACACAATACACTACAGTCTCCTCTTGTTCCTGGTGGTAGCTCCAGCATACCACACGGTGATTGAAGAGGTGAGGATGGACTCAATGATTGCGGTGTAGAACTGCCTCATCGACTTCTGGCAAGTTGAATTTCTTCAGCTGCCTCAGGAAGTAAATCCTCTGCTGGACCTTTTTTATGATGGAGGTGATGGTGGGCTCCCACTTGAGGCCGTGGGTGATGGCGGTGCCCAGGAAGCGACATGAGTCCCCCATCATGATGGGAGTGCCAGACAGGGTTATGGGGGGGGGGGGGGGGGGGGGGGAAGAGGGGCTGTGTGCTTCCTAAAGTCCACAACACCCTCACTGTCCTCTGTGCATTTAGAACCAGGTTGCTGTAGCTGCACCAGCACACCAGCCATTAGACCTCCATTCTGTAGGTAGACTCATCCCCATCTGAGATGAGTCCAATGACGGTGGTGTTGTCTGCAAACTTGATAAGCTTCACAGACTCATGGTTGAAAGTGCAGTCGTTGGTGTACGGGGAGAAAAGCAGAAGGGAAAGAACACAACCCTGAGGGGAACCAGTGTTGATGATCCACAGGTCAAACCCCAGTCTCACTTGTTGCTTTTTGTCCGTCAGACAGTCAGTGATCCACCCGCAGCTGAAGTCCACGAACAGGATCCTGGCGTAGGTACCCTGGGAGTGCAAATGCTGCAAGATGTAGAGCCATGTTGATGGCACCATCTACAGACCTGTTGGCTCTGTAGGCAAACTGCAGGGGTCCAAGAGGGGGACTGTGAGGGTCGAAGTGGGGGAGAACCAGGTGCTCAAAAGGCTTCACAAACACAGATGTCGGAGCCACAGGTCTGTAGTCATTGAATGCAGTGATCCTTGGCTTCTTGGGGTCAGGGACTATGGGGGGGATCTTAAAGCAGGCCAGGACAAAATATGCCTCTAGTGAGGAGTTGAACATGCCCATAAACACTGGGGCCAACTGTTCAGCACAGTGCTTTAAAGTGGTATGAGATACACCATAAGGGCTGGGGGATTTCCCTGTATTTAGTCTTGAATTGCTTCCTTACGTCTTCCTCATGGATGTGTAGGGTTGAGGTGTGTGATATGATGTGAGGACCTCCTGAGTGAGGGGTGAGGAGAAGGTTGATGAGGGTAAATTCCACAGTAATGGCTCTGGAGTTGGGGGTGGGTGACCAATGTCTCTATTACTGGGACTGGATGAGGTGTGAGACCTCATTGATGGCTCGTCAAACCGACAATAGAAGTTGTTTAGGCTGTTAACCAAGAAGAGATTATCAGTAGAGGCGGGGCTTTTTGAGGCTATGTTTAAAATAAAATCATTAGTCATAATTAAACAATACAAATTAAGATCGATATTCTAGGGATGTGTAATGGCAGGAATCTGGCAATACAATGTTAACGTATCTCAGTACATATAAACAGGGAGACAAAAAGATATATTGTGATACTAAAATCCAGAAGATATTTGCCAATTTTAAGGCCAAATTTAATTGGAAATCTCAGACCAAAAGGTTCCAAGAAACATCCAGTGTTATAGCGAGATCTCATTGTCTTGTTGGGAGAAAAAGGCGACAGAAACTGCTGCTACCTGGCGATCAAAGTTTAAATTGCACAACACAAAAAAATTTGATACACTGCTTTTAATCCTTAATGCAATTATCTAATAAACCAATCACATGGTAGTTGCTTCAATGCATTTAGGGGTGTGGCCCTGGTCAAGACAATCTCCTGAACTCCAAACTGAATGTCAGAATGGGAAAGAAAAGTGATTTAAGCAATTTTGAGCATGGCATGGTTGTTGGTGCCAGACGGGCCGGTCTGAGGATTTCACAATCTGCTCAGTTACTGGGATTTTCACCCACAACCATTTCTAGGGTTTACAAAAAATGGTGTGAAAGAGTAAAAACATCCAGAGCGGCAGTCCTGTGGGCAAAAATGCCTTGTTGATGCTAGAGGTCAGAGGAGAATGGGCCGACTGATTCAAGGTGATAAAAGAGCAACTTTGACTGAAATAACCACTCGTTACAACCGAGGAATGCAGCAAAACACTTGTGAAGCCACAACACGCACAACCTTGAGGCGGATGGGCTACAACAGCAGAAGACCCCACCGGGTACCACTCATCTCCACTACAAATAGGAGAAAGAGGCTACAATTCGCATAAGCTCACCAAAATTGGACAGCTGAAGACTGGAAAAATGTTGCCTGGGCTGATGAGTCTCGATTTCTATTGAGACATTCAAATGGTTGAGTCAGAATTTGGCGTAAACAGAATGAGAACATGGATCCATTATGCCTTGTTACCACTGTGCAGGCTGGTGGTGTAATGGTGTGGGGGATGTTTTCTTGGCACACTTTAGGCCCCTTCGTGCCAACTGGGCATAATTTAAATGCCATGGTCTACCTGAGCATTGTTTCAGAGTCAGAAATTGTCAGAAATTTTGACCATGTCCATCTCTTCATGGCCACCATGTACCCATCCTCTGATGGCTACTTCCAGCAGGATAATGCACCATGCCATAAAGCTCCAATCATTTCAAATTGGTTTCTTGAACATGACAATGAGTTCACTGTACCACAATGACCCCCACAGTCACCAGATCACAACCCGATAGAGCATCTTTGGGATGTGGTGGAACGGGAGCTTCATGCCCTGGATGTGCATCCCACAAATCTCCATCAACTGCAAGACGCTATCCTATCAATATGGGCCAACATGTCTAAAGAATGCTTTCAGCACCTTGTTGAATCAATGCCATGTAAAATGGTAAATGGTAAATGGCCTGTATAGTGCATTCTAGAGTCCTGGAACCCCCCCAAGGTGCTTTACAATACAATCAGTCATTCACCCATTCAGACACACATTCACACACTGGTGCGGATGAGCTACATTGTAACCACAGCTTCCCTGGGGTGCACTGACAGAGGCGAGGCTGCCGAGCACTGGCGCCACCGGTCCCTCCGACCACCACCAGCAGGCAACGTGGGTTAAGTGTCTTGCCCAAGGACACAACGACAGTGACAGACTGAGCGGGGCTTGAACCTGCAACCTTCCGATTACGGGGCGAGCACTTAACTCCTGTGCCACCGTCGCCCATGTAGAATTAAGGCAGTTCTGAAGGTGAAAGATGGTCACACACCGTATTAGTATGGTGTTCCTTATAATCTTTTCAGGTGCATATATATTGTTTTGCATGTCATGAGTCTGTCATATACTGTATTATTTTCACTTTTCTAATTTTTCCAGTACGGGGGAGACAAAAGTGTTTTAACTTCTAGCACCATCCATTCATTCTCTTCTGCTTATCTGGTATTGAGTCGCGGGGAGCAGCAGCCTAAGCAGGGAGGCTCAGACTTCCCCCTCACCAGCCACTTGGGCCAACACCTCTGGGGAAATCCCAAGGTGTTGCCTGGCCAGCCAAGAGACATAGTCCCTCTAGCGTGGCCTGGGTCTTCCTTTGGGTCTCCTCCTGGTTGGACGTGCCTGGAAAACATACCCAGGGTGTCACGATCTGCCCCTGCCCTCCTGACTGTGTCTCTCTCCTGCCCTGATTGGTCCATATTGTTCTCACCTGTCCCTCCTTAACCTGCCCATGTTTTCCTAATTAACCTTGTGTATTTATACCACCTGTTTTGCTCCTGTCCTTTGTCGGATCATTGTATGTGCATGTCTCATTTTGTCCTGTCACTCCCGTTGCTATTAAATCCATTTTTATTTCATCCGTGCCTGCTCTTCTGCCTCCTGGAACCCTCCACCACACTTGGTCCACCATCTCCACCCTCACAACATGACAGAATGATCCGACCAACCTGGACTTGTGGTGAGCTTAACGTCTGTTCTGGAGGATTTTTTTCCCTCTCCCGTTTCAGCTGAGGGAGATTCCAGCCTGGAGTTGTG